CCCATTTATCAGTTGTCATAGCATCTGCATGGTTTTGCCAACATACCATGCCTTGGGGCAACCTTGTCTGCATTGTAGGAGATAGATAACATTGTCCAAGTCACGTGAGTATCTGCCATGCATGTGATGGATGGTGTTCCCATGTGTGATGGTAGTATCCATGTCGAAGATCTTACATGTCTTCCAGGGGTCACCATGACAGGATTACATTGTGTTGTGGTCAATGCTGTCCTGAAAGCTGGATAGGTTGCTACAAACAATGGTCTGTTTAAGGTTTGGTCGTTGTTTGAAGGCAAGAAGAGGAGGCATGGCAAAGATCTTGGCGAGGCGCTCATAGTCATTGATAACGTGTTGAAGGCTGCAAAGATCATTGCGTAGTTTCTCCACTCCCTGGAAGTACTGGACGACGAACGGTACTCTATCAAATGTATCCCATGTCTGTCTTCTGAGGAGGTCATTATGGTTTTTCACAGCGGCACATCGGAACTGGCGATCGATGAGTTGAGCATCGTATCCTGTTCCTATGAGGGCATCTTTCAACGCCTTCAGGTGCCCGTCTCGTTCCTCCTCATCCGGACAGATCCTGTGTATGCATCGGGCTTGTCCATAGGGGATGGCTATTTTAATATGTTTAGGGTGGAAGCTAGAGAAATGCAGCATTGTGAGGTTATCCATGGGCTTGCGATACAGTGAGGTAGAGGTGTCCATCCTTGATGGATGCGCGCAAGTTCCGACGTGCCATAGCAAAAAAATGTAATTACCTCCTCAGAAGGCAGACATGGGATATGTCCAATAGGATACCCTTCATCATCCAGTGCTTCCCAGGAGCGGAGAAACTGTGCCTTCAACACATATCAATGACTATGAGCACCTTGCCAAGATTTACCCCATGCCTCCACTTCTCACCTTCAAACAACAGCCAAACCTTAAACAGACCATTGTTCGTAGCAAACCATTCAGCCTTCAGGACAATATCGACCACAACATATACAACCCTGTCATGGCAACCTCTGCAAGACATGTCAGATCTTCAACATGGATACTACCATCACATGTAGGAACACCACATGCACAGCACATATTCCTGTGAATCGGCCAACATGGCCTATCTCATATGCTGAAGGCAAAGATGCCCCGAGGCATGGTATGTTGGCGAAACCATGCAGACGCTATGACAACGGATGAATGGACAATGTGCAACAACCACCAGACAGGAAATGTTCCCTCCCAGTGGGGGAATAATTCAGCTGTCAAGGACATTCGACCTCAGATCTTCGGGTAAACGTCCTCCAGAGCGGACTATGGAATACCCAACAACGCGGAGTCACCAAGCAGAGGCTGATAGCCGAGTTCGGTATCCATGAGGGCGACCTCAACCGAGATATCGGGTTCACGTCGCACTACAGGTGACCTCACCAAACTATACACACTCTCATTCACCCTCGCATGCATACATACACATGCACTTGCGAAACTATGGGATGAGTCTGTATTTGTGGATACATTCTATTTTGTTCAAAAACCACGCAATTTGTAGACAGTCAATACAGCATTTTATAAATTCCTACTGTAGAAATAAAACCAGTCTGACTCCAAACCAAAACATAAAACATATTTTAAACAAGGCCTCACAACTAACATGCATTGTCTGACCTAAAATGTGACCTCTTCTTTACACTGATAAAACCTTTAGTGCTCTCAGGACAGAGACTTCAAAGGAATCCGGGGATTTACATATACGTATCAATCAATTAAAACCTTCTAACTGATTAAAGATTTAGCAGCATCTCAGGTTTGTTTAGTACATCCTCATAAGTCAAGTGACCCTTTGATCTTTTACTCAAATTCTGTGTCTTATACTAGCTCTCTCACTAACACCTGAAGGAGGAGTAAGACTCTGAACGCTTGTGTTTTCAAATAAACCTGTTGGGCTATAACCTGGTATTGTGAGATTTCTGACCTGATCTGAGAGATTCAGTGTTGTGTCAAGCAAAGAATCATAGTTTTACTGAACTTATTTGAAACAGGAAAAATCAGTTTTGATACCAATTATATCTCATATGCATTTCAGTAAATAGTTATTGCATCCTGGCTATCCATGACTTTCTTGAGTAAATGGACAAAACTGACTACCAACAAAATTGATGGTATAAAATAATCTGATCAGCTCAATAAAAGAAGACACCATATTCACATAAACAAAACATAAGTTAACATTATGCTGATACAAACTTCGAAATCCAGACAAATTTTAATCCCACTTTGCCTAAAATGAATAGGCCTTAATTAATGTTGAATATAATAATTTGTTAAATTGATATTTAAATCCAAATTAAATCCAATAGGATTCTAGTTAACAGTTGAAAGACACTTGTACAAACAGGAAATCAAAATACTCACCGTTCTTGTTTTAAAGCATATTCTAACATTTTTATTCTTCTCACTAGGTCCTTCTTTAAGTTTTCCTGACCTTTCCTTTCTCCTTGTAAAAATGCTATCCGAGCCTGTTTGAGAAAAAAAAAATCAGTAGATCAGTACCTTAATATGATTGCAAAGTTTTTCTTAAAACCTCAAAAATAAAGAAGAAAATGACTACACAATGCTGGTACTCATGAAACATCATCTGCGCTTGCAAGGAAAAGGCTCTATACCCTCAGGTCAGCAACTATATATCATTGAACAGAAAGTGAACATCAAACCAAATGGGGCTATGGGGGACACAGAAAAAAGGTCCAAAAAAAAACTCAGTGTAACTAAAAATCTGCAACCTTGCACGTTCTGCTTAATCAATTGGAGTCCACACTTGTAAAGTTAGTCTTCCATGCTCAGAGAGGCTGTTCAGCTATTTACAGCTGAGCACTTTGTTGAAACTCAGTAACTTTTGGTACAGCAAGAGCACTTTCAACTTCAATTCAGGAATAGAGTGCAATCTAAAGTTCACAAAAGAAAAATCAGTGAATTTCAATTATTCTGTGAAGAACACAACAGCAACTATATGGTGAAACTGCATCTCACTCTCATTAAATTGTGAATTCTGCACTCAAGTGTGTGCAGATACCAGAGGTTTCTGTCAGTTTTATGTATTAATAATGGCAAGCAGAGACAGCCTCAGCATGATCATCACAAATTCAATACAATATAGAGTCAGAGTTATACAGCATGGTCCAACTTGTTCATGCCGACGAGATATCCTAAATTAATCTAGTCCCATCTGCCAGCATTTGGCCAATATCCCTCTAAACGCTTCCTATTCATATACCCATTTGGATGTCTTTTAAATATTCTAATTGTGCCAGTCTCCACCATTTCCTCTGGCAGCTCATTCCATACACACGCCACTCTTTGCATGAAAAAGTTGCCCCTCAGGTCTTTTAAATCTTTCCTCTCTTACTGTTTCTCTCAAAACCATTAACAAGTCGTCATTTCTGATTATTCAAAGGACACTTCTCTCTTTGGCACTGGAAGCTTTTTTAAAATTGATCCCCACCACAGCTGACACACAGATGGCAGGAAATGTAAACACATGCATCCTAAGATCGTTGAGCAGCAAAAGGAGCAAACTGGAGTCCAGTGAAACTTTGTTGGTAGACTACCCAAGCTAAGTCCAGGCCAATCATATTGCTCTTTTCAAAGCTTTCTGATCAATCTTCTGACATCAAATCCACACAACTAGTTTGATATTTCATAGAATGGCAACAGAAATCATTTACTAAAAATGTGAAGAATTCAATTTAACAGTACTACATTATTAGCTATCTGAGCAAAACACTAGGAATGTAGTTTTATATGGCAAACAACAGACACAAAAACTGAAAGACCCCAATTAAAGCTTTCAAACCTAATTCTCTGTTCCACTTCTGACCCAAGTAGCAATAAACCCTTGTAGGAACAAATTACTGCAGATGTTGAAATCTGCACTTTTTTGGTGTTAACTATAGCATAAATGCTGCCCCCTCCACACTTCACTTCAGCCCTAGTGAAGAGTCACCTATACACAAAACGTTAGTTTGCTGTCTCTCCGTGGATGCTGTCTGACCCTCTGTGATCGCCAGCATGTTATTTTCAGTAACAATAAACCCTTTATCGATTGCATATTTATTTAGAATGATTCCAACGGGGAAAGGTATTCTCAAAGCAACGCTACCTGCGTGGTTTACTCATTACTCAAGTTTATTTTTAGAAAATCAAACATTGCAAATGTTTCCAGGTTGTGATCCCACAGGAAGGTATCTCAGGTGTCTCAATGTTCTGCCAGAATATTTAAATCCAGAGAGCAGCGGACAGGAGGCATGGACTCATCGCAAGTGGAATTTCTCATAGAGAAACAGAAAATGACCATCTAGGGGATAATTCCAATATTGGATCACTGTCTGTAAGGTACAATTGAGAATATGATGATGTCCCAAACACCACTATCACCCTCAGGCATGTCCAGTTCCAGGGGCAAAACAGATACAGCAGAGGTGGTAGCTGGTATACTGTCACACGGGAGTTGCCCAGGAGTACTTCACATTGACTTCGAACTCCATGAAATTTCATGGCATGAGGTCAAACATGTTGGTGTCACAAGCATTCAGACGTCCCTCCTCTCTCCTCCCAAACCCAGATTGCAAATCTGTAGTTGTCTGCTTTTTGTTTTGTGAAGCTGGACAACCTCACACAAATGGAACTTATCAGTATTGGGAATTTAAGGAATCAGGAGCAAAATTCCAACGTGGAAGAATGGCTCAGGTGCAGGATTATCAAACTGCTTACTTTAACAAGATGATCAAAGTTTGGAAAAAGGGAGTTGCAGAATTAGTAAACAAACACATTTTCCCCCTCAATGGGCCCTTTGGATGCATTCAATGTGCTCTCCAGAATTTTCTGTCAAAGAATTTCACCCCAAATTAGAGGAATCCCCATTCTGCATTATAATTTAAACCTGAATTGACTGTGAGAATTTCTTGGGAAAGCAACAAATCCAAAGACCCACTCCCATAAATCAGAAGACAAGGACTGATCAGTAGAAAGAGCCATTAATCAATGACTGAAGTGCTTTCCTGAGATGAAAGCTAGAAGTAAACAAGTTGGACACAGACACATCTCTGCGGTCCCAGTAGTAAACCTGTGCGGCCAGCCTTTCATTGATCATAATGTGGTCCGTTATATCCTATTTAGACGGGAAATTATTAAAAACAGATCTGCAAAAGGGCAAGATTTCTCCTCCCACTAATTTATTTGATCAATACCCATAATATCATGGACTGAGACTTGTTTGTGGGCAACAGCATAACTAGAGGGCATTAATACAAGATAGTCATCAAAAATGCCATTTAGGTATTTATGAACTTTAGGAACAGAAGTAGGCCATTCCAAAGCATTTAAATGAGCAAGAGATAAGAGGATGCTCAAGTACAGTACACACACAGGCATGAACTGGTTTGGTTGAAAGGCCAATTTTTGTGCTGCATTACCCATGAGTTTACTTTATACCAAATGATACAAGGTAAAAAGGACTTTGATTCTAGCAAGAGTTGAAACAATATTAAAAAAAATCCAAACTTATAATAAAGTGGAGAAAACCCAAAAACACACAAAGGGATGGTTTGTGTGGGGACTGTTCAAAGGGACAGAGGGAGGAGGAGAAATAGGGAGAAATTAAGGATCAATTCCAGAAAGTAAAGTCTAGGCAGCTGAGGCTGCTTGTGCTAATAGTAGGGTGAAAGGCCTGAGGAGTACAGATTTAGAGTTGGGTCAGTAGTCATGAGCAGGTTACGAATCAAAAAGAGTGACAGCAGATTTTGAATTTAAACAAGAGGATACAAATTTTAAAAATTTGAGATGTAGAAGAACCAGGAACCTATGTAAGTGAGCTGGGGCATTGGAGGATCAGTGCAGGGGACTGAATATTAAGCAATGTTTTAGATAAACTGAAATTTACTGAAAACAGAACAAAGGAAGGAAAATTGTAAATAAACTAAAAAAATTTAAGGCCTTGATATCTCAATGCTCACAGAATATTTGACAAGGGTACTCCAGTAGTTCTATTGCCAAGCACAAGAAACACTGAATATAATGTAAACCACAGTTTTGCATACCAGGTGGGTGCCACAGTACCTCAGATATATAATAGCAAAATACTACATTACCTAAAAGTCAGGAAAAAAAACAACAAAGTGCAGGAATCACTCAGGTCAGGCAGCATATGTGGAGACAGAAACAGAGTTAACATTTCTTCGTAAAATTATGTCCTGAAGAGTCATCAATCTGAAATGTTAACTCTATTTCTCTCCACAGTTACTGCCAGACCACCCAAATTTTCAGAATTTCTTGCCAAAAGACCATGAAAATACTACATTTTTCAGTTAACCAGAAGTTAGAGTAAAAACATCCAGCTGCTTTTTCCTCACTGAACCCAAATTGAATTGGCTGCTTCTGTCAGAAAACACACATGTAACTTAAACCAAAAGAATGTTTTACTCAAGATCCACCCCAAATCACTTTCTCTATTGCAATTTGGCATGCTTTGCAATGGTTCAAACAGATATGCAAACAAATTATTTTACTTTCAACACAACTCTTTGATTCTGCAACCCGAGTAATTTGTATTGCTAACGTTATGTGTGATTGCCCTCACTCCATATTTCATTATAATCTTAGGGTTGGATTATTCATCATCCAAGTATTTTCTACATCAGCTCTGATTTACAAGACAAATGTAGGTCACCTTTTAAGTTTTGACTGTAGTGAGGGTAGAAATTGAGATAGTACTGGCCATAACACTTCTGTCTTCCTTGGACTCCAGGGAGGTGCCAAGAAATTGGAGAATGGCCAACATTACCATTTTACTCAAAGGTGACTAATCCCAGCAATTACAACCAGCTAGTTTAACATCCATTGTGGAAAACTTCTGAAACGTGGAAACAATTATTTGGAATAGAATCAGTAGTCACGTAGAAAGAAGTAAGTGTCAGCATGGATTTCTAAAGGCAAAATCATGTTTAATTAAGTTGCTGAATTTTTTTTGGAAAGCTAACACTTGTGGTTTATCTGAATTTCCAGAAAATATTTAATACAATGCCTCACAACAGGCCTGTGAGGAAAATTGCAGGTAATGGCAAAAAAAGGGACATTGGTAACATGAATACAAAATTGGCTCAGTCATAGAAAAAGAGAACAATGATCAATGGATACTTTTCAGGCTGGAGGAAGGTTTGTAGTGGAGTTTCCTCAATGGTCAGTATTGGGACCCTTGCTTTTCCTGATATATATTAGTGATCTGTATCTTGATGTGCAAGGTACAATTTCCAAGTTTGCAGATGACACTAAACCTGGAAGAATTGTAAACTGCGAGAAGGATTGTGCTGAACTTCAAAAGGACACGGATAAGTTAGTGGAGTGAGCGGATAAGTGGCAGTTAAGGTTCAGTTCAAAGAAAAGTGAGGCAATGCACTTTGGTTGGAAGAACACTGAAAGGCAAAGTAAAATAGGAGGTACGATTCTAAAGGGAGTACAGGAGCAG